TCCCCTAAATCCGCTACTGGTACGTAACGTTTGTTCATCATTCTATTTCACTGCGTCACAATGTCACTATCACCAGCCCGTTKAAGCGGGYCAGCGCTTCATACAACCAGGCCCTATTACGTTAATGTACCGACACGAWGRAAATCTACCCGCACATAGMATTATCTCTTCACGTGAATCTATTTTCGTGCGTTGTTTAGGTTTAGACGTCAATACAACTTCTACTGCAGCTGAATCGTCTACAGTGGTCGCCTATCATACCCGGCATGCTTTGGGTACTTTAACTCAGGATATGAAGGAGATGAAAGGCCTGATGCAGAAGACCATTGAAAGGCTTGCAATGATCGAGAAATTAGTCGAATCCAATACTAAACAAGAATAGAAGAACTGTGTCCACATCACAGAATTTAATAAAAACCTTTCAATGGTTTGATTACAAACACCGATTAACCAATTCTAAAAGACTCTTTATGCCAACTGTGGGCTAGACGGGGGTATGGTTCCTTCATGGGATTGACCAAACCCGTCCAGCCCCAGCTGAAAATCAGGTTAACTTTCGACCAAGTCTGAATGCAATCTTATATAAATGGTACATCGCTTCTTAGCCTGTAAGATCTTATCAAGTAAATCAAACGCTCGTGAGGCTCAGTGTTAGATAAGGATCTGTTGTACGACTCCATATATGGATGTACATATATATACAGGGTCCCTGATGTACATACAAAAAATACAGATTATGTAGAGAAGAACGTAGAAAATTTTCAAAGACTTAACTTAACCTGAAAAGAATTTTGTAACAGTGATTATGTAGATTCAAACACGGCGGTGCTTAGACTAAGACTACCCATGGCTTGAATGAACTCTGAGAATTTTTGTAGTATTTATATAACGGTATTCATGGATAACTACGTCTAAGTACATAAGACTTTATACATAATTAATGAAGCTTCTATGTGTGCATGTGGTCTTTATGTACATCAGTGATTCTGTATATGAAAGAAGAACAAGAGATCCTAAATACTGTCGGGATTTCGTACGCGCCCGCGATACTCTRTTCCAGGGGAGTTGTTCCAAGACAAAGAGAACCACGAGTGTAGGAAATCCCGATATCTGAAAACTGAGCCTTGGARYTCGTGTACATACTCAACTTTTTCAGTGTCGGAATGCCCTTCATATTCATATTYG